TGGGGTCTGCAAGAAATAAGTTCACCCATCTCTCCTTTGATTTCAGTTTCCTCTCTGTAAGGCCTCTGAAAAAGCAAAAGGCAAGTGTGGTAGAGATTAAATTTACCCTTAAAGTAGCAATAAGTATATTTGTCCCCTTCTGCTTATGCATCCTATGTATGTTGACATTTTAACAGTATCAAAGTACACAATAACCCACCTGCTCTCCCACCAGGCCACAGATAAGCAAGTTATTACTGCATGCTGTCAGAAGGTACATTCTCCATAGTAACTGCTGCAAATGCCGGAACTGCTATCCTACCCGCAAACATTGCTCGTTTCATTATTAATTTAAAATACACATTTGAAATGCAGAATGTTTTCATTGTTTTTAGAATGGGACTATACCCTTAGAGTTAAAGGCTAGAGGCACTGCTATAAATACGGAAATTGCACAGCTCAAGACCACTGCAGTTCTCCATCCAAACAGGAATGAAAATAGCATCCAATAGTTCCAGACTGACCGGAACTCAGTCACAGTGTTTGCTCAAGTCTGCCAGTGAACTAATTTCATTGCATTTTCAGATCAAAAATTCAATACCTCCTAAAGACTAATTAAGTATACAGATTTGTATGCTTTCAGTCTCTTCATTGCAGAGTTTATCTGGCCTAGAAGCAAAAATTAATTTTGCTATCTTCCACAAGCCAAGGAAAAAAAAAAATGTTCCTATCACTCTCCAATGAGCAAATCTGACTTATGCAGTACTCCAGTCTCTGTAAGCGCTATCCTGTTTACCTTTTTCATGGTAGCTGCACAGCAAGAGAACTCTTGCAGTTATTTGCCAGAGCTCTCAAATCCCCTCATTGGCAAACACGCCTCAGTACCTTCCCATTTCACAGACAATCCCCATGCTTTTTGCTCTACGATACATTAAAATGCCATATATATAAATGACATTTTACAATGCCATGGAATAAAAGCACTAGGGATGCATTTCCCCCTCTCTACTTCCTCCTTAACTAAGTCAGGGAGATAAAAGGGCAGGAAAACAGCCTCATCACAAAATAAGAATAGCAAAACCTCAAAATTTTGAGTTTTTTCCATTTCACCTCAAAAGAGGACAGGAAAACATAATCCCCAAGTGCCAAGCTATTAGCAATTCTAGGCTGTGTTTTACCTATGATATATAAACCAAAGGCCAAGTATCAAAAAAGGACATAATAGCTGTAATAGATGCAGTAACCTGTAGCTGGTTTTAATCTGCAAGTCCGAGAACTGATTTTAGTATATGAAGCTACAAAAACTGGTTAAGCCCACACAAAACATTTTAGTTTCAAAGGACCTTCCACCCTTGCCCTAGAAAATCCTTTTTTATTTGAAACATTCTCACCAATTCTATCAGTAACACCCTCATCTGTTACAGTGCTAGATTTTCACTCTCTGCCATGTTACCACTGCAAATTTACGAGGCCAAAACTAAAATTCAAATTCCCAGAAATCTAGAACAATTCCATTATTGGCTGCTACACCCCTTTTTACTGCTTCCCTTCCAGAGGAGAGTTAGGCCAACCTACATTCCTGTAGCAGTGGCTATCTGGGAGACCACCGCGCCGCCAGGAAATGCACACCCAAAGCTCCGACAATCATTCCATGTGCTAAGCTGGTTTGCTCCTGCATTAGCTTCCACCAGCCCCACCTCTGTTCTAATTTAGCTGTCTGCTTCCTTTCAAGTCCTATGATAAATTTGTACGTTTTAAGAACTGGAGAAGCCAAAGTGGCCAAATAGAGCAAAACCCTCAGATACTCCTCAACACACACAGGCACCTCATTACTCATAGGAGCTGGTATATACCATTTGGTTCAATATCTTCACTTCCACCTTTCCCCAGTTCTTTCACTGGATATGAACTGCTGCTTCCAATATACGCATTCCTGTTGCTCTTCCCCTACGCACACATCTGCATTTAGCACCACTATGCTTCAACTGGAGAAAAGCCCGATCAAAACACATCAGAGCTGCTAAGGCAAAGTCACAGGAGTCGCTTCTCCCATCAATTTGGTGGAGCAATTTTCAGTACCAGTAACATACCAACGTTTATATCTTATTTCTGCCTTTCATGGTAATAGTTATGATTCAGGAAGATCCACAGCACAAGCTAAACTATTAGTTGACTAAGGTGCACAACGAGAAAAAAGCCTTAATCTTCTCTATTGCTGATCATTACAGTCTGCTGATGCAAACCAGCTTCATGCAATTTACAATTTTTCTGATTACATTTGAACAGCTACACTGCAGTAGATAAGATTAAAAAAAAGTTATCACATTTTAAAAGTAATTGGATAGTATTAGATTCTTTTCACCGTTTTTCCACAGCAGACACCAGTAGAATGTAAACATTTCGGGCAATGTAACAAGCTAGCTTTTATTTTCTATTATTTAATTTCAGCTTGCAGATCCCTAGGAAGAATTTACTTTTGCAGAACCCTTAAAGTTCCTGCCCCGTAGTTGGGATGCTTCTGCATTTTATCAAAAATTTTCTTGCAAGTTGTCTACAGAAACTTTTTTCTTGAAAGCACGATCTATAGAAAATTCCTAATGCATTTTATTAGTTTCAACTAGCCAAGATAAACATGGCCTACACAGAATTCAGCTGAGAAGCAGTCTGACTACATTATATCCTAGCACCACATTCCCATGGCTGATGCTTCCCTTCCCTGCAACTGAAAGACGCACAAAACCTAAAAACCCTCAAAACAACAAAGGTTTGCACAGTACTCTCAACATTTATAACCTCTCACAGAAAATGCATACGAGAACAACAAAAAGACACAGTTCTGAAAGGCAGAAGCATACACAGATAAAATTCTAAGTTGTATCTTCAGCCATTAGAGTTCTCTTTCCAGCTCTGCCACTGAGCTGCATTCTGACACCTTCTTGCAAACAGAAGGTCCTTGATAAAAGCCGGATTTCGTGCTATGTGGCTGGTGAAGGGGCAGGCAGACAGGAGGAAGAAAAGCAGCTTCTAGCTCGTTTTTCACCTCCTCATGATATTACATTTTAGAACATAAGTCTGTCCACAGCATCAGCATAAAGTTAAGAAGTGCCAAACTACAAGGCAGGCAGTCACTGTTCTCCAGATCACTTTACCAAAATAATTAGTACAGTCCTTCTCTGTGTCTGTTCCAACAATGCTCTGCATGCTAGCAACTCACAATATGACCTAATAATAAATACTGAACACATGGCAAAAGGACAGTCTCCTGAAGTTTGCTTTGAACAAATACAGAAAACCGTCATAAAGAAGCAGCCGTAAAGACCAGTTTGGGCTCTATTCCAGCTCTCTGGCATAATACTTGTTCTGTTAGCATTGCAGCCAACACTTGAAAATTTGGCTGACACACCCAGCAAAGTGGCTCCCAAAACTCTGTATGTATTTATACAAACAGCCAAGATTGAGCTTACACCAGCTCTCTTAAGGTTTGTTTGTTTATTTTAAAAAAGAGAGTTAGGGATTTCTGCATCACAGAACTAGGGCAAGAAAAATAATTTCTCTGACAGCTTAATTTTCTGCTGTGAAGATGGGATAAGTCCATCTGAATTTATGCTGCTTTCAAAGAAAAAGCTGTGCTCCTCTATCGGTGCAGTTTCACTTATGTCTAACTGAACTACTAACAAAAGATGGAGTTTCAGTCCTGTTTACTACCTTATTCCTTGTGTTTATCCTGCTTCCCTGTGTCGATTCAAGCAGTTGCAGAATGAGCCAACTTCACTTTGCTGATCCAAAAGAAAATTAACCAAAAAAGCAGACATTCCCATCCAATGCAACTTGAAGCCACACACCCCCCAAAATCACCACGCTGCGCACATCAGAGTGCTTCATTTCTAAAGCCTTTTTAAAGGCATGGGACAAGAGATCTGGAAATGCAGTGTGTTCATCAGACCTGAGGATAATTCTGGTGGGAAGGGCCCCCAGGAGGTCATCCTCTCCAAACTTCTGCTTAAAGCAGATCAAGTCATCCAGGAGATGACAAGACATAATCTACTTACTATCAGGAGCTGTAAAGGTATGCAACCTGTTAAGGTTAAGGAGGAGGTAAATGAAGCCTAAGAAAGGTCCAGCAACACATTCACAACAGAAAAAGGGAAGGAGGGGGCATGGAAGTTTGGCTACACAACTACTGTTATTTTTTTTTAATATTTCCTTCCACTCAACAGGAAAACTGAATCAGCTCCAGATTAATCAGCACTGCACCTACCAGGATCACTATATTTCACTGGCAAGATGAAGGCAACTAAAAAAGTAGCAAGGCATACAGGACAGGATCTTCTACAGAGATGCATGAAACACAGTAAACTTGAGACTCCTTATTCTGTTGCAAATGTCTTAAAGACTCAGGTCTGCCACAGAAATGGCACTTCTTTGGAATATTTGCCTTAGTTAACCTAGAAAAGCACTCATGCAAGCACCACTATTGTATCAGATACACAGATTATCCTCATTTTCTTAAATCTGTAGGATCTGGGATTTACCCACTTTGGACATAAGACTGCGCTGGCAGAGCGTGCCAGTCATGTGTACACATGCTCTTGGAGCCAGAAGCACTCCTGTTCTTTGCCTACACAGCACATCACTCAGTAGAGCCACTACTGACATTTGAATTTCCAAAGCATCCCTATGATACACATAATACAAAAAAACAGCCTTAAATCTGCACCACTTTCTGCAGTCCTAAATATCTCATTTCGGAAGCAAAAAAAGAAAAGAAGAGGTTGATCCTAACTTTTGCTAATTAGGAGCAGATTTCTTTAATTGTTTGTTTAAAAAAAAAAGAGACCAGAGAATAGACGTAAATCTTCCACACTTGCAGGAGTCTATTATTCTAGACCAAACACTCATCCATAAATCCCATTTTTGTACATGGCTTTGGGAACATCACACAATCTAGACATTGCTGCCATAATTGCTAACACATCTACCCCAGTGATTACTAAGTAAGTTTGACCCTGTGTGTTACTCACTGCCTGGTGGATGTCAGCCTTCACTTCTTCACTCAGCATTCCCTCAAACACAAAGGAATCGCCAAATTTCTCTGCCTATGGAAAGAACAAAAGATTCAAAAGTATTGTGAAAGGAATGTTATTCTTAAAATGCCACTCACATTTACAGCTTTATCTTATCAAGGATAGAGAAATTCTAATAGTAATTTTGAGTTCTCTCTTTCAGGGAAGCTATTTTGGAACACAAGAGAAGGCATTTTATCTCTGGACGTCGTTGTTCTTCAACAGCCACAGGACAGATGGCAGCTCACATAGCTTCTGCAAATGTTTTTACTCTGTTTAATTAAAAATGCAGTTCCAATTGTCCCAATTGCTTTAAAATGCTGCAGTCAATCTAACATTCAAGGGCATATTTCATTTCTCTTAATTTTCCTTTAGGAATCACAATAAGAGACCTAAGCCTTGTCACTTACTGCTCCTTCATTATCACTACCACCAATTTTTTAAGTGCTGTTACAATAACAGAAGAATAAAAATAACCCAGTCATTATACCTAGCATTATATAAAGCCAAAAGAAACAAAAAAATACAAATCATTTCCATGAATCACAGTACATGATACCAACAGAGGGTTTTTCCCCTTGGTAAACTAAGTGAATTCATACACTAAGGAAATCAAAACATGTTATCAGAATTCCACATGTTTGCCCTTCTCAGTTTCTTCATTTTACTATGGGCATTCAACAACTGACAATGATCACCATGACCAGCTTCTGCATGCTCAGAACTCTTCAAGAAGCACAGTTTGAATGGATCCCATGCATGACACAAATTGCAAGAAGTTTTAGCATATGACCATGATCTTTATACATTTTTCAGAAAGGAAAGAGAAGAAAAAAATCTTTTTTCTCTCCTGCCCAATCTGAAATGCCCAGACAGAAGCAAACAGGTTTATCACCTAAAGGACCCAAGATTTCAGTCTGACAGCCTCCATCAAGGGCTCTTTTTTTAAGTTTGTTAAAAAGAAAATATTTTTGGTTCAACAAGAAAGCTGTACAACTAGAGATTTTTTTCCTTTAGCTTTCCATTTACTTTCAGGTTTAATTTGCCACCGGAGTTCAGTCTAGTCCATAAGAAAAGAAAACCAAGAAGTAGGCTGGCTCTGTTTACCTGCAGTAAGTAATGGGGACTTTATTTAAACACACAACAAACGTGCTCAGCTGCATCCCAAAAAAACCTTGCAAAATCAGTCCTGTTTACTCTGAGTTTATTTTCCCAAATCCAGCATAAAACAGGGCCCCATGCGAGGGGGGGAGGGAGGAGGGACAAGTGGAGCACCCAGCTATGCCAGCTGGGCCATGAAGCGCTGTCTGGTGCAGTGCTACATTCAAATACCAGTGCACATGTGCTCATTCCAGAAGCTGTTTGCAGCAAGCAAGCCCTGTTCAAGCTCAAAGTTGTTAAGCAACCTTTTTCATAATTACTGAGCCAGGAACTTCAAAACAGAAATAGTGCCGTAGATAAAAAGAAGCCGTTCATCCAACCAGAAGGATCCTGTCTTCCAAATGAGAACCAGTTGATCAAGTGAATTCAGAAAAGTGCCTCCTTTGAGACCTGATTATTTCCAAGGCTTTTATTTGCCTAAAAGGCCTGTCAGGGTTTTATAAAATTTGCGTAGGAACAGTTAACTGTCAGGAAAGATCAGAGCCTCAGGCACAGGTAGCTTCTTTCTTGCAAGAACCTTAACATATTCTTTCTTAGTCCATTGTTCCCAGTAACGTGCACAAAACTATTATTATACTTGCTATTACATCTACTTTAGACAGCAGGGCTTTCTAGTGCTCAGCTCATTAGCAAGCAGCTGCACTGAAGGAGTCTGCAGAGTCCTCAGCTATCACAGTTTTTTAGATCCCTTCTCCTCTGAAATAAGTAAAACAAAATCTAACACAGTTGTACTGGTACAAAGATGTCCTAGGACCCAAAGGTCAAAAAATCCCCAAACAAACAAAAACAAAAAAAACCCTGTCTTCAGCCATCTGTTAGCTTCACCCAGGCTGCCTCAGTCATACTGCAGGAAAGATGTAAGTCTAGATACCAAGACACTCACTAAATGTAACAGTATACACTTAAATGCCCCTTCAGACCCCTGGGCAGCAAGGCAAGACAATTTCATCTCTCCACTATTAACATCAGAAATATTCTAGTGTGCAAATTCCAAGCAAGTGTTGTAGCATCCTTCAAAAAAAAAAAGAAAACCCTAAGTTTTTATCAGGGATTTTGCCAACACAAAGAAAGATGACAGGAGACTGCATACCCTTCTGCCTTACCTCAGTAACGTACCCAGTAGAATTCACAAATCTCTCAAACTCCTCATTGCTGACCTCATACTGATCCATGTAGAAACTGTTAACGTGGACTCTTCTAGCAGGCCATTCTCCATCTTGCTGGATTTCAGGCTCATCAGTGCCCATTGTGAACACTCCTCCTGGAATAGCAACCATCTGCAAAGAAAACACCACCCAAAAGATTATGAAAATGAAAGACTGACAAGTCTCTTATCAGTCTTACTCTTCCTCCACCTCATCTTTGGATGCGTTTTTGCTTTGAGCAGCATTTCGCTGACAAAAGCAGCACCACAAAATGGCAACAGTGGCATCCTGATCACCACCTGTTTGGAAGAAATTGCAAGCAGAACTTAAACTGAGGAAAAAAAAACACTTTTGTAGCTCTTTCTACATGAAGTCTGGGCAATTCAGAACTTTTACTGAGGGTAATGCTTGTGCTCTATCGAATGAGGAGCAACATGTTCCCTTACTGTATGTAAGAGCCAAGAAACAATCCAGAGTCCTTTCTACTCATTTGCAGATGAGGAATTTTGGCATTTCACTCTACTCCTAGGAAAACGTCACGTACCAATGATGAATCTGGAGATCAAGAAACTGTAAAGTGCTCTTTTGCGAACAAGCCTATGCTTGTTTGCATACTAACTACCCATGGTTTTTCATCTAATAACAGGCATGTGCAGCATTTTATTACCAACCATGCTGCTAACTGGCAGGTAGGCACAGCACCTGCAGCTCTGTGAGCCAGAGATGAGACAAATTTCTACGTCAGTTATATTCCACTCCTCTGGAAAACTGGCCTTAGGCAAGAGCTCAAGCTTCAGCAGTAAAGGACAAGTAACAGAATAGCATTTTAACCATTTCAATAAGATGTTTTTCCCTTTAATGCCTCCGACAGATTCCAGAGAAACAGAACACACTTTCCCTCAGCTTTAGTGCGCTCTTTCCAGGAAGACAAAAGCTCCAGAAGTCCCTTCATGCCTCATCAGATGTTTCCCCAAAGCCCTCTTAAAGACCACAGGCTGAGCAAAGCATTCCTCACCCAAAAAACAGAGAGCATCCGGGATCCCTGCTCAGAAGCTTGTGCTGGAATGAAGAACAACAGCTCAGGCTGCGTCAAATCTTCCCAACGGGCAGTTGATGTTTCAAGGGCTGACGCTACCCAAGAGATAGCTTGCCATCAGCAGATGGAAGAACTGAGGAAGAAAACTCCTTTTTTCTCTTCAGTATCCCTGAGCTGCCTTCCCCATCAACTCACACTGAATTCAGCCACCCCATTCCTCCTCTGGCAATTGTCAGAGGTTCGTGAGCAGGCGAGCCCCAAAAAGCCAGCCAGCACTGACATGGGCATCCACCATGGAGAATAACCTGGCATCTCATACTACACCTGAACATACCTTGGCAGAGATCTGTGATCATACACAACTCTTAAAAGGAATTCAAGCTGTCAGACCAGTGACAGAACCTAAAATGAGCAAACCCAGTTTAAGAGATAGCAGCTTTTTCTTTTTTTTTTGCAAGATCCTGATGTTTGGTATGCAGGAAATTCAAGTCTAATAAAAAAAATATTCATTGAGAGAAGTTTCCAGAGCAGCACACTTCTAACACTACTCTAGAAGTGCAGTTTAAGTTCTGACAGAACAAGAAGCCTGGATTTTAGATGTATGAGAGTTCAAACAAAATTCCATATGCATACAGTGGAATAACACAGCATGCAACATATATATTAAAAGTAGACAAACTGCAGAGATAGAGTTGTAAAAAATGTGAACTGATGTAACATTATTTAGATGCAGAAGTGGGTTCACAGAACCAAACATGAACTCTGGACTTCGTACATACAGCCAGTTTGCAGCACGGCCTCGATTACAGGACCTTGATCCTTCTATAGTTCATTTTTTTTGTTGTTTTTTTCTTACTTTACAAGATTCTCTTAATAAAGTTGGATGCTTTCACTGAAACAGTTTATCTGGATGCCCACAGTGACTCACAAACCAGGAAGACAAAAAGAATCATTAGTTACCTTCCAGCTTCTGAAGTTTACTGTTATTTATGTAGTTACAACAGCATATCAAATGATCGGTATGTAAGTTCACATCAGCTTTCCAGCACCTCTCCCTATTCTTAAGGGAATTTGGAGTATTTGACATAACCTGACATACCTAGTTTCATTGTTTTTTCTCTACTATAGATCTCTCCTTTTGCTTGGGTCTCTCATAACTTTTTTTGTCCACTAAAAAGAATCTGAGCACTTACAGATTGCCTTTAACTGAATCCATAAGAGGGCTTCAGGATAAATTTGCTTACATTTTTTAGGACTTAAGGAATGACAATGTGGTACAAAGTTGCACCACTTCCTTCCAGTCTCTTTCCAACCCACTTTAGCTAAAACAACTCCTTGAAGCAGCCTTCAAAGCAAGATTCAGAGCTCACTGGTGAGCTACTGTCTAAAAGCATGTGAAAAATTAACTCTCCCTTCACAGCCTAGCATTCATGTCCAAACCTGGAAAAATCTCAGTAGACTGCCAGTGTACGTTCAGCCAGGAACATCCAAAGGCTTCCTCATGAACCTGCTGCTGTTGCAGCCCTCTCACAGTTACACCTGAAACTTCTGGCACGTCCACCAACGTTGTGTCCAACACTGACACCAAATATTGATTGCACAGGATTATCCTCCCCCATCAAAGTTCATTTCGCAGCTCCACCTCCTGTTTGGAAATAGGACCTTCCTTTGATAGTCAGCTTTATAACAACACCTCATTGCAGGACACAAGGCTCAGATGTCTGACAGTGCTCTTCAGCTGAGAACAGTGGTATGCAACACTAAGTGAAGAACAGATTTTCTGCATAGACATCACATCCAGAAACCACATTTGTATAGTTAATTAAGCAGCTTTAACATCCATTTTAAAATACATGTAGCTTACACTGAGTAACTAATCTCTAATAAATATCAAAGATGAACTATGGAAGCAGAAATCCAACAGCAGAGGCTGAGAGTTACATCATTTACCATATTAGAGCATGCAACAGTAATTGCCTGTATCTTCATAATATTACTTAGTTAGTGCATGCAGTTCATTGTCCTCAAAGCTCAACTTCAACAGCAGCAACAGCAGTGACCAGCATTTGCCTATGATTATACTTATGTTGAAAGTATTAAGATAACGTAGAGCAGACCCACTAAAGTATCAGCTCTCAATTTCTAAAGACAGTGGAAATAATTCATCTCAGTTGTGGTTAAGGTAGAAGCCAATTTTTTTAGTAAACATGTTTTCTAGCTAAGCATAAACTAGTTATGTTGTGAACATAGCTTAAAATCCAGCATCAATTAGTTTTCATTATCTGCTGTTGAAGTTGACAGCTGCCTTACATAAGCTAAGAGTCAAATTATTTTTTCACCCGACAGTGAGACTCCGTGAAATGCTGAAATTTATTACATGAAATGTAGAACAGTGCCATGGTCCCCAAGTGCCATAGTCCCCAAGTGCAGTACAGATTATTTAATTCAAACTCTTTAAATACACTCTAATTTCTGAAGTGCAGCCTGCAGTAGTAAAGCCGTAGTTACCACTGGGCATCCTTCCCTTTACCTGCTAAGTGTCCCCACTGCCTGTGCGATACAGGCTCTCCCCAAGGTGACACATCTTCCCGGTGCTGCAATGCCAAGAGGCAATTAGAGAGGCATCCCCTCACATTTTTACTATTTGCAAGCCATCTCACACAAGAACAAGATCTAAGTCTGCTGTGATATAATTGTGTCTGCCAAACCTTATTATCACCTTTCATGACATGAAACAGCAATCTTATTTCTAATAACTGAAGATATCTTATCCATCGAGACATTTGGTCTCCAATGATACCAAAAGTCTCAGTATCCCTTTGCAGTAAGCACCCCTATAGCACAACAACCCATGTTAAGCACTGCCTTCATCAACAGGCATGTTCAGCTCTGGATGACGTCTTTCAGAAGAGCAACCACAGCAATAGAAAGGAACAAGCAATTAAACAGATCTTTATGTGAAGAGAACCTGGGAGGGTATTTAGATATGGACACACAAGCAATCACTCTGCTGAAATACACACACGAGAGACCCAGCGCGTAATTTGCCAGTGTTACAACTCCACCGATACCAACACAGATCCCAAAGAGATGGATGGGGGGGGAGATCAGAGCCTCAGGAGTAACAGGTCACAAAGTGACCACACTAACAGCACGGCCACCTCCCCAGGCCCCGCGGCCACCTCCCCAGGCCCCACTCGGGCAAGTACCGCAGCAGACGCACGCCTGGTGCTCGCCTGCTCAAGGCGTGGGTGGGCTGCCAAAACACTCAAGAAAAACACCCCGGATCAGCTTGTCACCCATCAGCCTTGTACAGGGAGGAGCAGACAAGGGGCACCGCGGTGGGGGCCCGGGGAAGGCCCCAGGACACGGGTAGCGCTGCCCAGGCCGCTCCCCAT